AGCATCGTGTGCATGGGTCGCCGCCGATCTGAGCCGCCGCACATCGAGCAAGCCGCACCGGACAGAACAGATCTGTCCGGAGGGCAAACCACGCATGGCGCCGACCCAACCACCGGGCTCTCCATGCCGCCACGCCAATCCGAGGTCAGATGGTCCGTCGCTGCAGACCTAGCCGCCGCCGCCGAACGCAGCCAAGGCCGCTGCCCGACGCAGGGCCGGCCGCCGCACTCGCCACCACCACCGCCCTAGGACGAGGCCGCCGCCGCGCCGCCGCCGGTCAAGGCAGGCCCGCCACGCCACGAAAGCTAGATCGGCCGTGCCACCACACGCCGCGGGGCTCCGCATCGCCCCCATGGCACGGGAGAGAGGGAAGGCCCCCGTCACCGTCGTCAGCCCCCGGGCTATAGGCCGGCGGCGTCCTTCGGCGGCAACGGAGGGAGGGATGGAAGGACGGGGAGCCCCCGGCGGCCAGGGTTGGGATCCCGTCCGTGTCGCTCGAGCGGGGGCGACGCGGGGGGAGCGGATATGTTTTCTTGTCTAACCATGTATGTACTCAAATAATATTTGCTTTCATGACTGATGTATTATGGATCCTCGTGACCCTGACTTGTACTATAAAGATTTATGTTTAATTTGTGTCGCGGAGTTGTGTTGTGATATTAGCGTGGGTCACCGTTCATGATCCGACATGATGCGTGTATGGTTAGTACACGATTATAAATGGGGCGTCACAGCAGAAGGTCTCTAATGAAGAAGAAGAGATGATGCTGGTGAGACATCGGCGGTGTCGACCCGCTCCTTTGCGAGTCGTGGCGCTTCCGATGTGGGGGCTGCCTTCTCCTTCGTGATGCCCTCGAACTCTTCAATGTTGAGTCAGAGCGTTCTTGGCTTCTTGCAGTGGAGGCGCCTCGCGGCTGTCTCCATCATGGCGAGGACCTCGACTAGGATCTTCTTCTCCGAATTGACCTTCACGAACATCGCGTAGGGTTGGGAGGACCTTGTGCCTATGCGGGAGGAACCGGCGTCCGCCGCCACTCTGCGCGGTCCGCTGCCTCTCGCGCCGTATGGTGTGTGCCTCCGATTTGGGGGTCCTTGTACGGTGGCTCGACGTGAGCACGAGCATCAAACGCTTGCCGTGAGGAGCTGGGGCCAGAGGGAAGCGCCCAATGACAGATCAGGGATGAATGTATGTGAGAGACTTTGATTGTATTATGTTAAACAAATTGGAAGATCTACCGCCGGGTCGAGGGCAACATTTTGGAGAGAGAAAGTTCGACAGAAATTGAGAAATCAATAGAAACTAGTATAACGCCCGTGCGTTGCCATGGGCTCTTCAAAATTTATAATCAGTATCTTTCATTTATCATCCCCTCATATTGGGTAATTATGGGGTGCTCTAATTAGAAACACAACAATCAAATATTAGGAAATTTCACCGAACGAACAACAACGAATAATACGATATCTATCAAACGAATAAAATGAGGTCATATTTTTGGTCCGTCATGCACTTCTGTTGAAAAGTGCCTATCCCTTTTAGAATCAACCCACTGTTTGCTCGCACGCAAAAAAAATACATCTCTAAAGTGGGGAACCGATCGGTGCCAAAAAGAACTCAAACTCCTATCCAATCTCGACTTCGTGCTCTTCCACTTCCATTGATAAAGATGGGACGTCAAGGGTTTCATCATGATGACCTCGAGCAGCCGCCGACATCCCTCCCCACATCTACCCCTACCCCCTGCTGCCGCTTGCACTGTCCTTGCTCCTCGAGGGAGCTAGGGACACAATGTTCTCTAGGGTGGGCATGACCAGATCCACGAGGAGGCCACATTCTTCCATGGGAACCCAACCAAGCACACCATCCTCCGCAACCATCCAATCCCAGCCTAACAAAGTCAAGACCCGCCATCGATCCACAAATCAGGCTCGCCGCATCCAGGTTCACTACAAGTCTGCGACGAGTCTGTAGTCGACATCTTGACTTTGGCTATCCCCGCGGAAGAATCATCGGATCCTGCTTACTTTTACCATCACTTCGTCTCTTCCCAAGGCAGCGACACCACCCAGCCAATCACCACCACCGCTTGCGGCTTGCCTACATAAAATCATGAGAAATCCCCACGGCGGTGCTGTAAGATCACCTTGGCGACCTCGACAGTGACCGACTGGTCTAAGATCTAAGCTAGCCGCTCTTTGTAGAAACCAATAGAAGTAGGCATGTGACTCAGATTTGTTCTTTGGTGTGCATGCGTTTCTTGCTGCCCACCAGCTCTTGTCTATAACTCGCCTATCTCTGTACCAGCTCTTGGTCTACAACTCGCCTATCTCCATGCTCGAGACGACCAAGCTCGATGCGCAAGCCGCATACGTCTGCTAGAGCTATATCCAGGCCCTATGATTTTTGGATCACTGGCACTATGGGTGCCAGGACCGGAGTCGCCCTCATCCACCAAGTGGATCAAGGAGGCCCACCACCTAGACTCTACATCGCAACATTTTGTGTTTTCCTATAAAAAGTAAAGAACCTTCTTTAATAAACGTAAATATAACCTTTTGGTTTTATAGTCTCAACTTTCCTACACTCCAATACCAGAAGGATTTCTTGATTTTATTTAATGACCTTCTTGAATGTCATTCACTTAGAAAGGTAGTAATACAATCTGTAATATTAAGGCAAATTATTAGTCATATTAAAGTGCAAAAGGCCCTATAGGAGTCAAAGCATGACTTTTATGGTTATACTGTAATTTGCAAGATCTGAGATTTATGCAAGTGTACAATTAGAGAAGAGCCAATTAAATAGATTTTTCACATTCAGAATAGTACGATTAGCAGTAGCACTTCATTTTTTTCATGTTTGATCAGCTTGCTAGGTGGTTATCACTAAGCATGTTGGAACGATGAGCATAACCTAACTTAGTTCAGTACGTGTTGCTGCAAATTAGTTCAGTACGTACGAAGCTGTTGCTAATTTCAATGCCTGGCTGTTGCAAGTTTCTAATGAAAAAGTACTTCAGGTCAAAGGTCAGGGAATATACACTTTTGTTATCATGGTTGTTTCCTTATAGTGAACAACTTTGATCACCACTTCAGCAGCTACTATCTATAAGAAGACATTAGCTAAGTAGATACAGGCAAAGAAAGCATGTAGGCAAAACCAGAATTAAAAACATCCTTCTCAATGGAGCTCGTGCAGTTCAGAAGACCCTAATCATCGATGAGGGACCCCTCCGATGGTAGCATGGCGTGACAATTGTCGTCAATGACGACACCCAAAGTACCTTGCACAATCCATCGATCCAGTTCGGAACAATCAAGCACATACCTTGCAAAGTGATGTGGATCTGAAGCAGAGGTGGGAAGGTAAAGGCTCAGGTGAGGTGGAATGAGACGTTGATATAGAAGTGAACGCATGAGAATAAGGCGGTGCCCAGGATGGATCTCCATCGGAGGAGGCCGGATCCGCTGGGGAGGAGGTCGCTGTAGTACCTGCCATCTGTGCGATGGATCACGGGGCTGGCAGGCAGGGGGAGGGGATAGGAGGGAGCGGGTGGGCTAGAGCGCAGATGGCGGGTGCCCCCGATGACAGCTGGGAAGGATGGTGGAGGAGGTGGATGAGGATGGCGGCGGCGGCGTCTGCGGTTGCGCCTCGTCCGCAGCCGTGCTGGTGGTGGTCGATGCGAGAGCCGGATGGCGTCGGCCAGAATCAGGCAGGGGCGACAAAGATTTAGAGGAGAGAGAGAATGGAGGCGATGAGCGATGGGAGGAAGGGCCATCGGCGATTGGGGTGGCCTCAGATCCGCCCTCCGTGGCCGCCTATTTCATGGGACGAACACCCGTGCTCACCGTCGGGCTCGCCTTCGGCCGCTGCCTCGCCCACATTCACGACGTAGAGCCCCTTCCTCCGATCCCATTTGCCAGGGAGGCAGTGCCATCCTTCATCGCAGAGAACGAGTCCACACTGAGATCCCAACCAGATCGTGATTGCGCCTCCCCAAACCGCAGCGGCACATCCCACTCCATCAACGACCAACCTATATGAGGCGGAGGGTCAGTGTAGGACGCGAGCGCCGTCACCATGGACGTGGGGGACGCCGTAGGTGGGAAGGAGGCGGCGACGGCGTCTGTGTCAGGAAGATCGCACGACGGCAGCGGCGTTTACTCGAGGGGATCGAGAGGAGCTGCGTTTGGTGCCGGGTGGGTTCTTTGGTGCGTGCGTGGGGCTGGAGATTGTGATAGGTGATCAGGTGAGGGCGTGCCATACCTGGATCGATAGCCTTACCATACCTGGTGGTAATTTAAATTTATTACCATATTCGATATTTCCCGAGTTATGGCCTTACCATACCTGCATTGATAGCCTTTGGGGTAATTTAAATTTATTACCATATAATTACCATATTCAAAATTTCCTGAGTTATGACCTTACCATACCTGGATTGATTTATTACTATATGTGGATTAATTATGATTTATTACTATATGATTTATTACCATACGTGGATAGCCTTACCATACCTGGTGGTAATTTAAATTTATTACCATATTCGATATTTCCCGAGTTATGGCCTTACCATACCTGAATTGATAGCCTTTGGGGTAATTTAAATTTATTACCATATAATTACCATATTCAAAATTTCCTGAGTTATGACCTTACCATACCTGGATTGATTTATTACTATACGTGGATTAATTATAATTGATTACCATAAATACGTTGGGTATTGCCGGTCAGACGAGAAAAGAGAAAAACCGGTGGGAGGGGCTGGTGGGAGGTAGGACGAAGAAAAGCCGGTTGAAAATAAACCGGTTGAAAGTGGGGGGGGACTATTTAACCAATTCGTCTATTAGGAGTAGAGATAGGAGTAGAGATATATGCACATATATACATGCGACAAATACGGTTTACTGCATTTTTGTATATCTAACTTGCAATTGACATCGATGAACCAAAACTCAAGATTGAGCAAACAAACAATCTTAACACTATTGTTCTAGCAGACGCTCCTTTCCATCATCTCGTTGTATTGCAGCCACGAGATTTGCCGTTGCAGCTTCATCTGCGCGTAGAACTTTGCGATGAACTCGTCCGCCTTCACGTCCACCCCGGCATCCTCGCCGGCCTCCGCGGCTCCCGCCGAGCCGACGCTCGCCTCCATCATCGCGCGCTCGAGCAGCTGCTCATCCGCGCCATCGTCGAGGCTCTCCAGGCCGCACTCGCTCGGCTGGTCATCGTAGAAGTCCCCGGCGCAGCTCGCGTCCCTCTCGCGGTCGTCGCGGAAGAAGTAGCGGTCGTCGCCGTAGACGCCTGGGGTGTCGGGGACGGAGGGCGCGATGCAGGGGATGAACCGGAGCACGCGCGCGGAGGGGGTGCGGAACCGGAACGCCGGCGTCTCGTCGATGGAGAACTCCCGCTCGCCGTAGTGCAGCCGGTCGTTGCGCCGGCCGCCGTGGCCGAGGCCGAGGCCGGCGACGCGGCTGTGCCGCAGCGTCTTGAGCAGGCGGAGGCTCTGCGCCGCGCTCCCCTTCCGCGCCCAGAGCACCGCCAGCCGCAGCAGCCGCCACGCCCGGCCGCCCACGGAGGCCTTCCTGGTCGCCTTAGGAAACATCGCCGGCGCCGCCATTGTGCTTATCTGCGTGGATTCAGCAAAAAGGATCGCGAGGCCGGTGTAGCTGCTCCGCTCTTTTGCTTTTGGTGTGGAGGTTTGTTCGGTCTGGTGATGGATGAGTGTGGCGGGATCGCTGCATAAATAGGGAGCTCAGTTGGGATGCTTTGCTTGTGTCGTGAGGCGGGAGCGGGAGCGCGGCGGGAGCCAAGGGAAGCGACCGCGTCTGTTACCTGCGTGTTTGCTTGGCAGTTGTGCATAAGCTGGAGCAGCAGTGGATGATTGCGGTCAGGCGTGTGGGGCCCGGCCGCCAGGAGGGGCGCCACATAGTGCGGCGCCTCATCGGGCTGACGGACGGCGGCTAGGACGCGATTGCGCGTCGTGCCTGCGAACGTGGGGCCGTTTCCACTGTCTGTTCCGTGGGCCGTTTTTTTTTTGAAACGGAGGCAAAAGTTTTGCCTCATCGATTAATTAAGCAGAAGAGAGTTGCTCGGTTAATTAGGGAAAACCGAGCGAAAACCAGATTGCCCAATTAATTATGGAGAACCGGGCTAAAACCCTCACAACCGCTGAGCGGCACACATAGAAAGCCCCACGCACACCACTCCAAAGAGGGCCTCACGAGACCGCACGCAGGCGTCATCGTCATCACTTCTCCCCTAGAGGCGTCATCGCCATCCCTACACTCTGAGCAAACGACTCCCACTTCGCCGTAGGCGATCGTCGACTCAACCCACACTGTAGCGGACACGTGAAGCTGCATGAAGATCGATGCCAAAACCTCAGCCTCCTGCGGCCAGCCAGCGCAACTCCAACTCTGACGGAGAACTCAGTAGGACAAAACCAGGCACGGCTGGCGCCACGGGAGATCGCCGAACGGGCAACCTGCAGCCAGTCATCGTATACCACAGGGCCTCGCCGTCGCAGCTTCGACTTCATAGCAACAAGCAAACCGAGGCAATACCGTGGACACGCCGAAGAAGAGCCGACTACCGCAACCATTGCCGCGTCGCCGACATCACTCCCACCATCATCGTTGCCACAGAAGCCTGGACGCCACCAACCACCGGTCCCGCTTGCCGATGCCGAGCTCCGAGACGAAGCCCCCAAGAGGGAAAACGACACCAAGGCGCCGTCATCGTCCGATCATAAGATCTAGGGTTTCCCCTGAAGAGGCCGAGATGGCCGGATCCGTGCGAGAGGAGTGCGGCAGCAAATCAGCGATGCCTCCAGGAAGGTCACGACGGCCACAGCCGCCGCCATCGCTGGTCACGACACAGGGCCGAGACAGAGTCTTCACCCGAGCTTCCACACCACCTCGGTTGCACATCATCCCGCACCGGCACCGACAAGCCCACCAATCATCCTCGCAGCCGAAGCCGCCGCCCGAGCGCCAAACAGGCAGCCCGAGCCCCTCTACCACGCGCCCCGCCAGAGCAGTAGCACCAAGACGGGCCTCCACCACGCCGGAGCAGGTGGCCACCCAGCCACAGATCCGTGCTGCCCGGACCTCCTCCGCACATCCGCCGAGCCTCCCTGCCCGGCCTCGCCTGAGCCGCAGCCCCTCACGCCCGCCTGCCGAGCTTCCCTGTCGCGGCCGCCTTGTCGCCTCAGTGCGACCCACACACGGCACATCCGCGCCGGCTGGACCACCCCACGCCGCCGTCGTGCCTCTGCACGGTCCCCTTGCGCTGCTGCCGTGCCTCTGCACGGCCCCTTGCGCGCCGGAGCACCCGCGGCATGGAGCCGCCCCTGCACGTCACCCACTGCAGCGCGACTACTGCACCGTCGATCCCCTCGCACTCCCTTTGCACCGGCGCCCTTGCCGCGACGCGCAGGCAGCAGATCCGCGCCGCAGGACCCACTGCACGCACAAGACGCCCTCGCCCCGACGCGCAAATCCACGCCCAGCCCGCCGAGCCCATGCGCCATGGCCGTGCACCGGCGGGCGCACGCAGCACCCCACCAAGGCCGCCACGTCGTGGCCGCCAGCCTTGAACTCGACTCGCCGGCGTGCACAGCCCCTGGACCACCAGCGCCGCCGGACACCAAGAGCGGCAGATCCGCCCCCACTGCGCCGAGAAATGGCCCCACCGCCGCCGACGCCGCCCGGGCTTTGCCCCGGCGACGCCCTCCGGCGGCGGTGAGGGAAGAGGAGGAGGAGGGCGTGCCTTAAGTGGCCGGATCTGGGGCGCCCCGGTGCGGCCCGTGGAGCCGCCCGTGGGCCGTTTTCATCCATGACAGACAGGGGCGTTTTGTTTTGCCTTCATCAAGCGGCAATCTACAGGAACAGGGTGTGAATAATCGAAACTGAAGCTCCTTGTGATTTCCTTGGTACTTCGCGTATTAGCCCACTGTCTGCGTTCGTAGTACGTGGGCACAACTGTAGTTTTTCGCGGGACAGGTAGCTAGCTAGCTGCTAGCCTGGCTTTGCTGTGCATTTTGTTTTCATCTAGTTACTTGTGAATTGTGATGGAGTGGAGCTGAAGATCACGTGGTATAGCGTCAAGAACGAATTGCTTTGCTTGTATCTCTGTGAACGCTTCTCAAATGACGCATCATTCCTTCTTAACCAATCACTCTTACTATAAAATTTTAGCCACAGCCACGCGTTTCCATGGAGTTAACTCTAGCTGCTCGTCAGTGGGGAACATGGCTTTGCTTAATCAAGAATGTAAACCGCGTAGCAGTGTGGACTATGAAGACCTTAAGCCCAACTACCAGCGCAATCCCCGCGGTACTGGCAGCTTCACAATAGTTGTGAGGCGGACGTGGACCTTGCGCGTCCACCTCAGAGTCTCAGGGGTACTGTACTTGCCAGGCCAAGAGCTCCACAGTGTCACGCCGCACAAGTGAAATCGTGTACGCGGTCTCCACGCTGCGTCGAAGCACAGGAATGTACCAAAGCCCAACGCAAAACAGCCTGAAGAACTGAAGCCGGAAAATTTACCGTCATGTTTTCTGAACCCCCGGTCTAAGATTCTGTTTCTGTCTTGAGTATTGCATAAAAAAGGTGACGAATACAAATTTCCTCAGCCGGTATAAAACAGCCGAAAATCACTGCACAGCTAGCCTTGAAAATCACTGCACAGCCAAGCTAAAAGAGAGGCACTAGCCCGAAGCTTCCCATGAAGTTTCACCAGAGATATAAACACCAAAAGCAAACAAATTTCTTATACGAATCTGGTTCATGGGGTCACATGGCATTCCCACAAATCCTGGCTGACAACTAGACACAGCGATCACACGCTGGAAAACCCAAGCCTGTCATGCAACTACGCAGGTACTACCAAACTGCTCACCACAAACACCTACAGCTCTGTTGTCATATAGCTGCAGCCTCAACAATTCCTGGTTGCTTTTGTGCTAAGGCTCCGCTGAACAAGACAGTTCACCTGATTTTTTTGGAATCATGCAGCATGGGAGATATGCAAACTGAACAAAACGATCTAACGGTGACCGCGATACTTAAGATCACTGCTGTCATCCGTCACCTGAGGAGATTATAATATCGCCTTTCCGTTCGGTACTGAAGGATGTGATGCCATTAGCCCGACAAAGCATTACCTGCTTACCACGAATGATTCATTCAGAATGAAGAGGTAGCGGCCACGAAATAGCAGGGCTAGATTGCCCACCTGCAAAAAGGAATTGGACAGCACAACAAGTCCAAGATAGACAAAACAGATTGATTCAGACCCAAGGACCTCTGAAAAGTCAAGACCCAGTCTGGATCTTCTCAATTAACGGGCATGCTTGAAATAATAATTTTAGTTATATTAGAGAAGTAATAGCTGAATTACTAAACAGGCGAGACGCTGGCGGTATTTTTCAACTTCCTTTTGTTCTTTTATATAAAGCCCCCCTATTTTCTTTATTGAAGACATTTAGTTTGCTTAACAAGAGAACATATGGGCAGGAAATTTCAAGAGCATTTTGCATGCTATATTACTCATCAAGCATAGATAACAGATCTCTCCAAAATGTCTGGATGCTCACCATGCGCACCTGGGTCTTAGGGGTTGTTTGGTTTGTGACTATGGTTGCCACACGCCCACACCTTACCACACGTAAGGTAAGATAAGTTTGACCAACTTAGGTGGTTGTTTGGTTCAAGCCTCATCTTAGGCAAGATGCTTTTTGCCACACTAGGGTCCACAACACATACAGTGAAAAAGTGTGCCAAGATTCCCTTAGGCTTGCCAACTTGTGGCTTCCATTTTGTTGAACTAACTTTAGGTAAGTTTGGTAAAGAATGTGTGGCAAAATGTGGCATTATTAAGACCTAGAACCAAACAGCCCCTTAGTCCCGACCTCCACATGATGCTCACAATTGTTCTTCTGAATAAAAATGCCGAAGGTGCTAGTGCTTGTCGACTAAGTTTGCTTTTTCCTAAATCAGAAGAAAATATTCCCAAAGAGTAACAATACATACAATGCGGACCATTTATGTAACTGTAAAAAAAACATTTTTTTTCTAAAGGAACCAGCTTATGACACATAGAAATATAACTGCAAAAGCATCTCCAAAATGCTACTAAAAGTTATCCATAATGTCCATTTGCTTCTTTTGATTTAATTGTCCAGATAGTGACAACCCATGAATACCAAAGATTTCCATTTTCTTCTATGATCAAATTGTTTTCTGATATGTACCTTTCAAGAAGTATAATGCCCTTGTAGAGTAGCAACAAAGGTAGCAGAATTGAAACTTCTTTTACCTCTTTTGCGAACACACAGGAGAGCTGCGTATCATTTCATTAAGAAGAAAAGGAAATGTACAAGGAAGAGGGAGAAAACCCCCTCAACCCAGCATCGGTTTCAAGGCACTGATCCTTACAATGGACAAGCCATATTCTTATTATGAGATCTTGCGCATAAGCAGGGATCAGGGTATATCTGGCTAAATAACACTGCATCCTGCTAGTCAAGATGGGCAAATGATATTTGCATTACAATTGATCAGAAGCGATTCTGATTGTCTAATTTATTCTATAGCGAGGAACAGATCGATAATT